CGATAAACATGATAATCAGAACCAAAACAGATGTTTTTTAGCAGGTCCGAGCTGTAATGGCGTAGCTCTATTCTGGAAAAGGGGGCGGGGAGCAGCAACTCATTTGCATTTAAAGAGCCAGGCCCCAAAAACAGCGTGTTTCTGCTTCTACTCAAAATAGGCATTTTCAAAATGATATAATAAATGATCTGTGGAGTATTTTGAGTTGAAACTTCACAGACACATTCTGGGGACACCAGAGACTTATATTACATATTGTAAAAAGGGGCATAATATGTCTCCTTTAAGCAATTAAAAAGGTTGTTGTTGTGGGCGTGGCTGTACCTGGCCTCTGATTGGGCGACGGCCTGCTCCTCTTGGGCTGCCTGGTTCTCCTCTTCTGAAATCAGAGTGGGAGTGGCGTTAACAGGCTCAGGCTTTTCTGCAGCAGTCTCCGAGGCAGCAGGGGGCGCTGTGACGGGCGTCACGGACAGCTCCGCTGCCGCTGCTGATTCTACGGGAGCGGGAGGAGGGGTCGGTACTGGCACTGTGGAGGCAGCAGGAGGTGCAGCAGGAGGTGAGGGTGGATGTGCAGGGGTTTCGGCGACAGTTGTGCTAACCGTAGCGGCGGCTGCCGGTGCGGGAGCAGGAGCTTGTGGCGGGGCTGCAGATTTGGGCTGTTGAAAGAGAAACACAACTGCACAGAGAACTATAGAAACCTGCCAATGAACTTTAACACTGTTTCTATCCAAAGTTGCGAATTCAACTTGTGCGAAATATTGAAATTTTGCAAAAAAACATATGCTAGGGCTGGGACAATAAATCGATGCATCGAGAATCGAAAAATTCTGCATCGATTCTGAGATTATCGGAATGCATCGCGATTCTCTCTAGAATCGATTCTGAGCTTAGTTTTTAACAGCAGACGGCACTGCGTGCTTTAGAAATAGCCTTATTCTGCTTGCTTCCAGTTCCTTACACACGCATAAAGTTCGAAAAGGTTGAAGCGAATTACAAGGATGTTCACAGTGGGCTGTGTTCACATTAATCTCGCATCATAAAAGCATAAAAGCCGATGTGCAAGTACATTTAACCACTTACATTACTCAGCCGAACGCACAAGCGCTCTTCTTCGTGAGCATTTGAGTGTGCGGTTAAAAACTAGCCTAGAGCACCATCTGCTGTTAAAAACTAAGCTCAGAATCGATTCGAGAGAGAATCACGATGCATTCCGATAATCTCAGAATCGATCCACGAAACGCGATGCATCAACTTCACAGACACATTCTGGGGACACCAGAGACTTATATTACATATTGTAAAAAGGGGCATAATATGTCTCCTTTAAGCAATTAAAAAGGTTGTTGTTGTGGGCGTGGCTGTACCTGGCCTCTGATTGGGCGACGGCCTGCTCCTCTTGGGCTGCCTGGTTCTCCTCTTCTGAAATCAGAGTGGGAGTGGCGTTAACAGGCTCAGGCTTTTCTGCAGCAGTCTCCGAGGCAGCAGGGGGCGCTGTGACGGGCGTCACGGACAGCTCCGCTGCCGCTGCTGATTCTACGGGAGCGGGAGGAGGGGTCGGTACTGGCACTGTGGAGGCAGCAGGAGGTGCAGCAGGAGGTGAGGGTGGATGTGCAGGGGTTTCGGCGACAGTTGTGCTAACCGTAGCGGCGGCTGCCGGTGCGGGAGCAGGAGCTTGTGGCGGTGCTGCAGATTTGGGCTGTTGAAAGAGAAACACAACTGCACAGAGAACTATAGAAACCTGCCAATGAACTTTAACACTGTTTCTATCCAAAGTTGCGAATTCAACTTGTGCGAAATATTGAAATTTTGCAAAAAAACATATGCTAGGGCTGGGACAATAAATCGATGCATCGAGAATCGAAAAATTCTGCATCGATTCTGAGATTATCGGAATGCATCGCGATTCTCTCTAGAATCGATTCTGAGCTTAGTTTTTAACAGCAGACGGCACTGCGTGCTTTAGAAATAGCCTTATTCTGCTTGCTTCCAGTTCCTTACACACGCATAAAGTTCGAAAAGGTTGAAGCGAATTACAAGGATGTTCACAGTGGGCTGTGTTCACATTAATCTCGCATCATAAAAGCATAAAAGCCGATGTGCAAGTACATTTAACCACTTACATTACTCAGCCGAACACAAGCGCTTTACTTCGTGAGCATTTGAGTGTGCGGTTAAAAACTAGCCTAGAGCGCCATCTGCTGTTAAAAACTAAGCTCCGGATCGATTCGAGAGAGAATCACGATGCATTCCGATAATCTCAGAATCGATCCACGAAACGCGATGCATCGATTTATTGTCACAGCCCTAACATATGTGAATAAAGAAACGTGTTCGAGAGAACAAAAACGTCACTTCCTGGGAAACTGGCGCAAAGTATAAATAAAAATGGAAGTTGCCGCAACTGGCGAAAGTACTTCGGCTCTTTTTCCTACAAAATAAACTTGTGCGCAGATGAAACGCAATAACAATCGCAGTCATGTTATCTTGCGTTCGTATGTCTGATGTTTGTGAATGCAATCTTGGGAGACTGTTCTGGGAAGTAATTATACCAAATCAGTTTTTTGTTGCACATCGTGGAATTTATTCAGTTAGGGTACGTTTACACAACAATGATTGTACAAAAAACTGAAAAGTTTTTCCTTCGTGTTTTTGACAAGTTTTGCATACAGACGACAACGGTGTCAAAAGATTTCAGTTTTTAGTGTATACACCCCCTAAATGTGATTCCAATGTAGTTTATGCAAACATTTTCTTATCAGATAAAAAAAAAAAAATCCGCCTCAAATGTATTTTTAATTGTTTTATGTGCATACGTTAATTTATGTGCATTTTAAGATTTTATGCACATCTTTGGTGTTTTGGTGATGGTATTTCCATCCAGCGTTTTTAATGCGGCATACCACAATTTGAAAGAAAATTGTAATATATAAAAATAAAATATATTTTTAAGGGCATTAGTGGTATTGAAACTTGCATAAATGAGCTTATGAAGAAGGCAATGAGAGAATTGTGAGGAAAAGAAAAAAGCCTTACCTTTGTAACCATCACCACGACAAAGTTCTTCTCATCTATCTTGTATTCTTTTAGAGGTATATCGTCATTCAAAATTTTGCCTGTGTTTTATGGAGAAAAACAAACGCAATTTTATAAATCAAAAAGCATCTTATTAAAACCAAAGAAGAATATGGTGCATGCCAAAAGTAAAATTTGACAGTAATTAAATATAAAATATATAGGTAAACGTACCTATTAAGCTCACTACCATTTTTGAGCTCAGATTATAAAAAGAAAAAATCATGTATTATCCTACTTGATGTCTTAACTAATTGATGTGTTTGTTACTACATACCTCCTGTAATTTCAAGTCAATCAGACCATTGCACACTGAGATAGATATGAGTCTCCATGTGTTCACACTGTCTGGCGGTCATTTTGAAAGCTGTCTGAAAACTTTCACCAAAAGACGAGCCCCTTAAATGTGCATTTTTTTAGATGTTCAAGCCTTTATTTTGGGTAAGTTTCACTACTTACTGCAAAATTAAGAGATTAATGTTTAGACTTCTGCATATTATAACCTGGAACTTGGATGTGGGAAATAATTACAGTTAGATCCAAAAGATAGTCTTAGCAACATAGCGCAGATGCTACAGAACACAGTTAGCTGACTAGCTGTATAAGATTGTGTGCTACGCTAATA